CTCCCTAGAAAAAATCACTTTTATCACTCACTATCCCTAGAAAAAAAATCACTTTAATCACTCACAGTAGGGTGAGATGCTTTTGATGACATTTCCCGTGCAATTAAAATTTCCCCCGTGAAGGTGCAAGAATCACCTCGCTAGGGTCTCCGTAAGCCTGAGTTTTGCTTTTGATAAAGTCATCAGTTTTATCATCGGCTGCAAAACAAATCTCCCACCCCCCAGCTCCTCGATGGCCCAGCAGCCTCAGGGACCAGCAGCAGCATGCGCCCTGCTCCAAATAATATGCCTCACCAGCACAGCCCCCCCGATGCCCGGTGGAAGGATGGACATGAGCTCGTGTGTCCCATGGAAATCCACAGCACAGCTCCCTACAAACAGGCTGGAGGTGCCCAAAGGATCAGGAGCAGCCATCAGCCCCCAGGCACGCGGCGGGTCAAGCTGCCGTCCGGGGTGGAGGGATGCTCTGACCTCTGCCACCCTACGGACTTGCACCTGAAAAGGTTTGAGCACCTCCCCGTTTTCCTCTTCCTCCACAGCTCCCTTCTTTCACTTCTTCACTCCAAAAAGCTGTACCTCCTCCCTACCCTGATTTGGGGGAAAAGCCCACCGTTTATTTAGCACACTCTCTCCACCCAGCCAAGAGGCCGCTGGAGTCACAGACACCCCCCAAAATCTGCCCGATTCAAACATGCCTCTGTGTATCTGATGCTCCTTTCCTGGGAAAGGTTTTTTGGGGCAAAACCTGCCAGAAGCCACCTGCTCTTCAGCAGTCCCTACTTCGGGTGATGCAGGAGTCTCCCTGAGCAGCGTCTTGGTGCCACATTTTGCACTGGGGCCATGCAGGACCAGGTCTGCACCCGTGTTACGGCCCAGGGGGAAAAGGGCTTCTGCCCCCCCCAGCCAAGCATGACCCTCCAAAATACTGATTTCTACCACATACTCAGATTTAGACCCCCTGGGAAAGGCTCTTGCCTTGTCCCACGGGTGGTGGGGGTCCCTTCGCAGGACACGGGGGCGGCTGGCCAGGCTCCCCTGCCCACCCTGCCCACCCCACCTGCCCCTCACCTCCCTCCCGCCTGTTACGCTTCCCAGGCACAATCACGCTCCGGTTGCTTCTCCGACAATCAGAGATCGCCGACGTTTTTCTCCGGGAGAAAAATCAGCTAATTATGTGCCGAACAAAAAGCCTATTCTCGTCTGAAATAATACTCCTGTCTTGCAAAGGTACTTGTTTGTGGGCAAATTTTGAAGAGGGTTGACAATAAAAACAGCTGCAGGAGCTGGGTGTTGGTACACATTTCCATGCCCTGCCAGATTACCATGCCTAATTATCTCCCCTTTCCGCAATCTAACGTGGTTTCCTGAAAAGAGATTATTTCCAGATTATTTCCTCCCCCCCCCCCCCCCCCCCCCCCCCCCCCCCCCCCCCCCCCCCCCCCCCCCCCCCCCCCCCCCCCCCCCCCCCCCCCCCCCCCCCCCCCCCCCCCCCCCCCCCCCCCCCCCCCCCCCCCCCCCCCCCCCCCCCCCCCCCCCCCCCCCCCCCCCCCCCCCCCCCCCCCCCCCCCCCCCCCCCCCCCCCCCCCCCCCCCCCCCCCCCCCCCCCCCCCCCCCCCCCCCCCCCCCCCCCCCCCCCCCCCCCCCCCCCCCCCCCCCCCCCCCCCCCCCCCCGCTTTTCTATTTAAATGAAAGCTTTGCTTCTCCACAAGGATTTCCAGCCTGCTCTGGTTGGTTTTGGAAGGAGTGGAGATGCTGCTGATTTGGGGGGGCCGGAGGGTTTAGCTCAGCTCCATCCACCACGGTGGGAAGGAGCAGGAGGCAGGAGAGGGGCTGCAATCCGACGATGTCTGCTGGATCACAGGGAGGGGGGAAAGGGAAAAAAATTGGAGAGAAACAACCACGCGTGTGGCTATGAAGCACCCACGGGGGAGATAAGAACCTTGCCGGCGCTGTGCTGGGAAAAATCCCAAGCGCCGCACTACCGCACATATGGTGGCCTCTGCAAGACGGAGCCGGGACATATGGAAATGAGCTGTATAAGTAAACTTTTCCCAGTCCCTTGAAGTCAGATATGGGCCCCAAAAGTGTGTGTGCACGCACACATACCCCCCGATCCGCAGCAGCAGCTGCTTCGATGGCCATCCACCCTGTCCCATTTGCCACACCGCTGGGAAAAATTGTTTCTCCAGCAGAAATGCAGCATTGGGGAGGGGGGAACCCCAAAATTCATGCCTCAGGTGACCAACGGGGCTCAGTCCCCAAAAGCTGCATCAAGCCAGGGATGGAGAGCCAGATGCAGGACCTGCCGGCGAAACTGCACTGAGACCCAAAAGCAATAACCCCCCTTAATCGTTTCTGCCAAGAAAAGAACGGTTTCAGATGTTGGCTGGAAATGTGGAGGGATAAACTGACCCACATATCCGGGCACGGGGCGGGGGGCAGCCCCCAGCCCCCCATTTGGGGAAGCCGCCGAGCTTCAGTGGTGGGAATTAGCAGCAAATGGGGTTTTTTTTGGTGGAGCTGAAAATGCCACTTGCTGAGGGCTGGGTGGGAGGTTGTGACCTCCCAGGGGACAAACCCCAATTGGCACATTTTGGGGGGGGGTAAAAGCCCCCACTGCTTTGAGTGGGGGGGGGTCCCTTGGGACGTGCAGCTGTGCTGATGCTCGAGAGACCACCCTCACCCCTTACCTCGCCCGCTGGGTTTCCGGGGCCTGGAGGGTGGCCGGCCAAGAGGGGTAGGATTTGGGGGTCAGAGCAGAGCGTGGCTGTCCCCATCCTCGGCACCTGCCGGCCCAGCTGTTGCAGGGGTCAACTTCCTCCTGGGGTGCGCAGCCCCCAAGACCTGATGTCTGCCATCTTCCCCCAGAAAATATGAGCATCAATTAGCTAGAAACGAGTGGTGGGTCATTAAGAGCTTCCTTCCCAAGTGGGCAGGCCAGCCAGGAGCAGGGTATCCTGCTGACCCTTGGTTTTGGGGGACACCTCCCCCCAGCCAGAAGCCACTTTTAATCAGGGTTTGTACCCCAAAGCCCCCCAAAACCAAGCCCCGAGGCACAGTCAGCACCATTGTCCCGGGAAGGCTTCAACTTCCCAAAGGCAGGAGGGATCCCACCCCCAGCCAACCCCTCTCCTTTCTTTTTTTCCCCCTCCTTTTTTTTTTTTTGCATTTAATTTTATTTTCCAAACCACTTGATCTTTGCTTGGGAACCTCCATTAATTGCCTGGGTTTGCCTCTTCGCCTGGTCCCTTTATCATTATTTATGGCCTTTGAAATTGTGTAAAGTTCCCTTGACGTTCAATTTACAAGTTTGGGGGCATTTTTTTTTTTTTCCTTTTTTTTTCTTTTTT